TTGTACAGACCAGAATCTGTTTGAAAGAAACGGATATCTTCTGGGATAGAAGACCGGATCTATTAGTTATAAGGAAAATAAATAATAGGAAATAAATGATATATAATGAATATATCTAATTTAATCTAATCTAATGGTATAGTATATATACGTATGTATATGATACATGATTAACGCTTTATATAATTGTCATGGTCCGGTTCCTTGTACCACGGTGATAGTCCAAGGTAGAACCAATAAAGAAGAACTCGAACACAGGTATGGAATAACACAGATATATTACAAACAGGAATATATACAGAAAAGTAGAAAGTGTTAGTACGAACAATCAGGTTTAGTAGTAATTGTCTGAACGCGACTCTGTTTCGGACTGCCTCTGACTCGACTGACTGACGGACTTCACTCCAGACTTCAGACTGAACAGTATTTAGTCACCGCCCCCACGAGGGCATCATGTAACACAAGGCCGGTTTAACGTGGGATCTCCGAGCCCGTGGGCTCGGCCAAAAATATGCCCTTTGAACCCGTATAAACGGGTTCAGGGTCAGTTTACCTCCCCGAAAGAGACTCCGCCCTTCGGCGTAGCCTCGTTCGGGTTCCTCCCCGCCCGAAGGCAGAGAGTTCAACCGATCAGCCGGTCGACCGGTCGCCCGACTTCAGGCTGAACTCCCTGCTTCTTCTTGAAGCGCAGTATTTATTATGTATGGAATAGTCCATTATGTTATTATGGGTAAGGTCCCATAACAATAATATTTGATACTAGCTTAAAATATAAGTTTTACTCAATTAGCTATTATGTTTCTCTAACTCTTCAAATGTTGAATGTATAACTAATTCTAATTTCTATTTTCCCATCTTTACAGTATATTAATTTTATCTTATAAATTGTTCCCTGTTCTGTCACCCATGAAATAAAAATAATTGTTTGTACGGAAAATAAGGATCTACGTACATCAAATCGTCTTTAAATTAAGAGGCAGCAGAAGAATTATCGTTGAACTTTTAAAAGGTAGGCTTAAACATTAATTTAATACTTAAATACATCAGTCAATTTTGAGTTCTTTTGTAGTTTTTTGATGCTTATCACATTTCCTCCTCCCTAACTATTGCGATGATGGCCAAATCAAGAGTCCTCCATAGAAGCTAGCTTAAATGCCGCCTGATAGGGTGGCTTTTAAGATAGTTTATAATGAAACGTGCACTGCAATTTCGGATTTTAAATACAAAAAGAAAATATAGTTTTCAGAAATATACAATGACAGTAAAATGTTCACTTTTTCTTGCAGTAAAGTTTGTTTTATAAAGTAATTAAGTGTTCTTAGTGTAATGTGAAATGCGTGGACAGAGATATATTATGACGGTCAGCCTAATTTGTTTGTGAGTTTGTAGACAAAGGCTTATTCAGTGGTTGCTGGTTAATACTTTCTATTGTAGAGAAGACCTTAGTGGACGGCTTCTGGCTGTTCTCTCTTCCATTGTGTGCGTGTGTGTCTACGCATGTGTAGGCCAAAATGGTCTCCGAAATTGGTTTGAACCTTGAGAAGAAGTATGATTCTATTTTTGTATCCGTAAGAGGATTCAAAATCTATTTTCACATAGAGGTGTGAACTTTTTGAATACAAAATTTTCATTAGTTAGACACGAAAATCTTTTTCTCAAATTTGCGGGAGTGGTGAAGGGAGTTATTATTGTTATTTTCTAAATGGTCCAAAAATAACATAATACTTGGTCTACAACTACGTCCACGAAGTATTTTGGTGGTATTTGCCCTTCTAATGACTGTTTATTCAAGAAAAAGTCTGATGGGATTTTATTGGTTAAAACACACACACACACACACACACACACACACACACACACACACACACACACACACACATATATATATATATATATATTTATAATAGTAAGTGAACATTGAAGTCAACACTTAGAGGCAATAGTCTGTTTCATGCTAGACGCAATCGTCAGGCCACGAGTGCTGTTATTTTTCTCGGCTATTTATATATACGGGTCAGTGGCGCATTGTGGGTAGCCTATTTTGGCGGTTATTTTGCCGGAAGCCGTTTATTTGTTTCTTTATTTATTTGTGTTAAATTATTTTGCTTGTCATTATTTATTTTTATTTTTTTTCTTATCTTATATATTTATTTATTTGTTTTTATTTTAATCTGTGTTTTCATTAAGGTAGTAAAAATGTGTTCATATCGCTTATTTAGTAGTTTTGTTTTGGTTTGGGAAGATAAATTCAGTTTTGGGGTTGATTGTTGTAGTTTATTCTAGCTATTATTTTGGCGAATCCCTGACCCATATATATAAATAGCCTTGAAAAATGACAGCACCCGTGGCCTGACGATTGCGTCTAGCATGAAACAGACTGTCGCCTCTAAGTGTTGACTTCAATGTTCACGTTTATATTTATACATGCTCTTTCTCTGATATTGAGCACTTTATCCCATAAATATTTCACACCTTAAGACTATATTTCTTCATATATCATACTTATTATAAAACCCAGGTTGTGTGTGTGTATCTGTACGTTTATATATTGGATCGGATTTCCTACATCTTTCAACCGATTTCAACAAAACTTCACAGGACTACGTAAAATTGGAAAAACACAATTGTTTTTGCACGAAATCAATTTGAAAACACGATTAAGAGGCATCGTGAGAATGAAAGGGGGACAACTCATATTGAGTTATACTTATTATAAAATCCAGGTTGTTTGTGTGTGTGTGTGTTCATTTATATATGGGATCGGATTTCCTACATTTTTCAACCGATTTCAACTAAACATCACTTTTTTTGGCAGGTAGTGTTTCTTATTGTCTTGCACACTTTTTTCTTTATTTTTACATTCAGAATGCTTTAAAAATTCCATTTACAAGACAATTGTTTATAATAAAATTCTATTCAATCAGTAGACTCATAACGATTGAAAACAATGTTTTTGTTTGAGTTTGACCAATTCGTAAAAAAAAAACGACAAAAAAAAAAAACGAAACAAAAAAAAAAAACTAATTAAGACATGCGTGTCCGTCAACCTTAAACAATAATCTGTCAATTTTAATTTTCAGTCTTTATGATGGTCGATACTTGATCTATCTCTTACTGTTATATCCCCGGGCAATGCCGGGCTCTACTGCTAATATATATATATATATATATATATATATATATATATATATATATATATATATATATATATATATATATATATAGCATTTAATGCTTATATCACCACGCTGTACGTTATATAATTGAGATCAGCATAAAACAGCTACATTTCAGAATGAATGCGTAGAGCGTACGAGGTTTACCCACGCCGGAAAGAAATTAATTTCAACTTGTAACGGGATTAGCAATATGTGGAATTTAAGAAAGGAAAGTAGCGAAAAAGAATAAATTTGACCCGTCCTAACACCCACCCACACAAAAAGAAAGAAAAAAATACACACACACACACACACACACACATATATATATATATATATATATATAAAAATTCTTATTTTTTTCTTTACTCATTATTTTGTTTCAGCAGTGTGCTTTTTTTCCCCAACATAAACATCCATCGAGTGCAACTGACTGGCATCAGAAAAAAATATGCTGCTTAAAAGTAAAGGTAAAAAAAAGATATAGATTTTTTCTACCCGGAATAGAAGGTAAGTACCTACCCGGAATAGAATGGACCTATCCGTGTGTGAGAAGGTGCTGAAGATATTCTGGTAAAAAAAGCACTGGTATTTCATTGACATTCGCTAAATTTAGCTTAGTCTGGCACAAGGTCACACTGACAGGATCACCTTGTTGGGATCGAACTCGTTTGACCAGAGAGTGATTTCATGAGAATAGGTTGCTAAATGTTGACAGGAAAACAGGAAGCTGGACGAGATTTTCAATGATATGAAGAAGCTAAGATAGATAGAGAGACAGATATGAACAGATTGATATAGATACATAGATATGAAGATAGACTAAGATAGATAGGTAGATAGATATGAAGAGATTGAGTAGGATAGATTAAGATAGATAGGTAGATAGATATGAAGAGATTGAGAAAGATAGACTAAAATAGATAGGTAGATAGATATGAAGAAATTGAGAAAGATAGACTAAGATAGATAGGTAGATAGATATGAAGAGTTTGAGAAAGATAGACTAAGATAGCTAGGTGGATAGATATGAAGAGATTGAGTAGGATAGATTAAGATAGATAGGTAGATAGATATGAAGAGATTGAGTAGGATAGATTAAGATAGATAGGTAGATAGATATGAAGAGATTGAGTAGGATAGATTAAGATAGATAGGTAGATAGATATGAAGAGATTGAGTAGGATAGATTAAGATAGCTAGGTAGATAGATATGAAGAGATTGAGTAGGATAGATTAAGATAGATAGGTAGATAGATATGAAGAGATTGAGAAAGATAGACTAAGATAGACTAATGAATAGATTGGAAAGATAGACTAAGATAGATGGATGAAGAAGAGATTGAGAAAGATAAGATAGATAAGATAGATATGAAGAGATTGGATAGATTAAGATAGATGATAGATATGAAGAGATTGAGAAAGATAGACTAAGATAGCTAGGTAGATAGATATGAAGAGATTGAGTAGGATAGATTAAGATAGATAGGTAGATAGATATGAAGAGATTGAGAAAGATAGACTAAGATAGATGGGTAATAGATATGAAGAGATAATAGATAAGATAGATGGGTAGATAGATTTTAACAAGATAGATAGGTAGAAGATGAAGAGATTGAGAAGATAGACTAAGATAGATAGGTAGATAGTTTTTAACAGGTTGAGAAAGATATGAGCAGATTGCGATAGATTGATAGATATGAACAGGCTGAGATAGAGAGATATGAACAGATTGAGATAGATAGATAGATAGATAGATAGATAGATAGATAGATAGATAGATAGATAGAGATGAACGGACTTTGATAGATAAAAAGATAGATATAGAGATAGATGGATAGATATGAACCGACTGAGATAGATAGATATGAAGAGATTGAGAGAGATAACTAGATAGCTAGATAGATTGATATAAACAGATTGAGATTGATTTGAACAGGCTGAGACAGATAAATATGAACAGATTTCGATACACAGACATGAATAGGTTGGGATAGATAGATAGATAGATAGATAGATAGATAGATAGATAGATAGATAGATAGAGATGAACGTACTTTGATAGATAAAAAGATAGATATAGAGATAGATGGATAGATATGAACCGACTGAGATAGATAGATATGAAGAGATTGAGAGAGATAACTAGATAGCTAGATAGATTGATATAAACAGATTGAGATTGATTTGAACAGGCTGAGACAGATAAATATGAACAGATTTCGATACACAGACATGAATAGGTTGGGATAGATAGATAGATAGATAGATAGATAGATAGATAGATAGATAGAGATGAACGGACTTTGATAGATAAAAAGATAGATATAGAGATAGATGGATAGATATGAACCGACTGAGATAGATAGATATGAAGAGATTGAGAGAGATAACTAGATAGCTAGATAGATTGATATAAACAGATTGAGATTGATTTGAACAGGCTGAGACAGATAAATATGAACAGATTTCGATACACAGACATGAATAGGTTGGGATAGATAGATAGATAGATAGATAGATAGATAGATATGAACCGAGTGAGATAGATAGATAGATAGATAGATATGAACCTAGTGAGATAGATAGATAGATAGATAGATAGATAGATAGATAGATAGATAGATAGATAGATATGAACAGATTGAGATAGAGAGATATGAACAGATTGAAATAGATAGATGGATAGATATGAACAGACTGAGATAGATAGATATAAACCAACTGAAATGGATACATAGATATGAACAAACTGAGATAGATAAATTTAATTTTTTGAAGATTGTAGTTGACAAGAATGCCGGCAGCCAGAAGAGATTTTCAATAATAGAAGTTGAGAGATAGATAGATATGTACAGACTGATATAGGCAGATAGATATGAACAGATTTAAATAGATAGATAGATAGATAGATAGATAGATAGATAGATAGATAGATAGATAGATAGATATGAACTGACTTTAATAGATAAATAGATAGATATAGAGATAGATGGATAGATATGAACAGACTGATATAGCTAAGATAGCTAGGTAGATAGATATGAAGAGATTGAGAAAGATAGACTAAGATAGATAGGTAGATAGATATGAAGATTTATATATATATATATATAAACCAATTGAAATGGATAGATAGATATGAACGGACTGAGATAGATAAATTAAAAATTTTTGAGGATTGTAGTTTACAAGAATGAGGGCCTGGAGAATCTGATACTCACAGGTCCAATAGAGAGAAAGAGAGACAAGGGAAAACAACGCATGACATACCTGGCGGGCTTAAGCAAGCGGATGACAGAACGTGGTCTGGGGAAGGAAGCAGAGAGAAGAAACTTGTTGAGAGCTGCAAGGGATAGAAGGAGGTGGAGAGCCATGATCGCCTACGTCCTGAAAGGACATGGCACATAAAAAGAAAGAAAGAAGTTTACAAGAATGCAGACAGCTGGAAGAGATTTACACGCGCGAGATTTCACGAGAGAAGAGACTATAAACATAGAACTCACGCCTAACACTAGCAATTTTAACAGTGAAATTATGAGAAATAGCTGCTAATCTAGTCTTCTTCTTTTATGTGCCATGTTTCTTCAGGACGTAGGCGATCACGGCTCTCCACTTCCTCCTAACCGTTTTAACTCTTAATAAGTTTTGTCCCTTTGATTCTTCTCCCAGACTCTGTTCTGTCGTCCACTTCCTTAAGCCCGCTAGTTATGTCACGCGTTTCTTTCCCTGGTCTCTCTTTCTCGCTATTCGCCCTGTGTGGATCAGATTCTCCAAGCCTTCTTTTCTCATTACCGGTCCCAGATATTTCAGCTTCCTCTTCCTGATGTTAAGTCCTCCTTGTTTGCATCCTCTCCAAAAACCACATCGTGGCTCACAAGCTCGACCCATGATATCCTTAGCATCCTTCTGTAGAACCATACCTCCGCTGCCTTGAGTCTCTTCTTCATCTTTGAGGAAATCGTCTAACAATCGCTGTCATAAAGGAGGACAGACTTTTCTGAAACCTTATTTGAGGAAGATTAGGTGATTTAAAGTTTAATTAATCTCATTTGAGACAAATGTTACTTTTAGTTTAAAATATCGCAGAAAAGAATTTTTTTTTTTTAACTAGGAAGCGGGTCTTTTTATGAGGGGTTGACAACTCTCTCGATAGATTTATGTTTGTGAATTTTTTCTTAGTGGGCTATAACTGTAACAATTCCTTTACGAATATAACGTGAAGACGTTTGTTTTTGTATAATTTTTTTAACTAAACAGTCACCTTAAGGAAATATTCTTAGCAATCAAATATTTTTTTTATTTTTAGGTACTATGGCTGCACAGGATAACTTACGAAGACGCTTATTGAGGAAATGTTAGAAAATTACTAAAAAATTTCAATTTTACCATAATTACCGCTCTTATTTTTTGATAATATCGCGTTTGGACATCCGTATATACAAAAATAAACATTTTTGCACATATAAAATAATTTCAAAATTATTTTTAAAATATTAGGAGTCGTTGAACTGGAGTAAGCTTTTCTATTTATGATTAGTAAATACAGTTGAATTTAATAAAATATCACTTGACCGCTAAAAATTAATACAGCATTTAAAAAGATTTAAAACTTTATAAATTATTCTAATTAAAATGAAAAAAATGAAAACAATTCTTGTACAAATTCATTATTCATCGAAACAAAAAACATTAAGGCAATAATAATCCATAATATATTTTATGCATAAAAAGAATTGAAATATCTTTTAATTAAAAAATGTCTTAGGTTTATTGAATTTTTTTATTTGACAATTCAGAGCAGATTTTCTCTAAGTGGGAGTCCTGTCCAACCAAAATGATTCCCTGATTTAAATTCCCAGATTTCTTTATTTCTTTATAAGTAATATAAACAATGTTTATATTACTTATAAAGAAAACTCTATAAAAAAGAATTTCACGACATTTAATGAAATTAAATAAACAGTGTGTGTGTGTGTGGGGGGGGTAACAGATGTAAAGAAACAAAATTAAAAAAGAAACGTTTCTCTAATATTTTTTTTATTTATTTGTGAATAAGTTGTGGAAGTTTCATTAAAATGCGACAATGATCTGAGTTTTTTCAAGAATTTTCAACTCCATGAGATTTTCCCCGCAGAAAGACGATAAAATTGCCCATACAAATTTATGGTCACCTACCAACACAAGTAAAACAAAATTTCGAATGTTCTAAAAAAGATAAAAAAATTTAATTTAACAATAAAAAAAAATCCTTTGGTCTTTCCTCTTAATAATAACATAAAGATTTTGACGACAGAACTTTGCTTTTTATTAAGTTTAGGGTATTTTCCCTCATGGTATGCTAATTTTTTAGCGAATTTTTGGAGGTACCTAAATATAATCATTGCAATTCATGTCAGTAGAAAACGTGAGACCAAGAAGTTGCAGTGAATTGTTATCCAGGAGGTTAGCATCAGCCATACCCATGGAAAGCGAAAGAATCCTTTAATATTTTGTTTTAAAGGCGTTGCAGTTTAAGCAACTTTCAAGTTGATCCCAATAGCGGACGTCTTTCTCACTTGGTTTTTTGTTCATATTTCTTTTCTTTTTTCTTCGATTTTTCTTTACGGTGTTTTCGTTTCCATTTTTTTCATCTTTTTTTTTTGACATTCATTCATTTGTGTCTTCTTGATTATGTGAAGTTTTCTTCTTATTTTTATATGATTTCGTTTTTTTTTTTATTCAGTTTCGTTCGCTCTCTTTCTTTCTTTTATGTTATCTCCATTTTCTTTTTTCTTTCTTTCTTTCTTTCTTTTATGTTATCTCCATTTTCTTTCTTTCTTTCTTTCTTTCTTTCTTTTTTCTTTCTTTCTTTCTTTTATGTTATCTCCATTTTCTTTCTTTCTTTCTTTCTTTCTTTTTTTTTCTTTCTTTCTTTTATGTTATCTCCATTTTCTTTCTTTCTTTTTTCTTTCTTTCTTTTTTTTATGTTATCTCCATTTTCTTTCTTTCTTTCTTTCTTTCTTTCTTTCTTTCTTTCTTTCTTCTTCTGAGTTATCTTCCTTTCATTTTTGTTTGCTTGTTTGTTTGTTTCTTTCTTTTATGTTATCTCCATTTTCTTTCTTTCTTTCTTTCTTTCTTTCTTTCTTTCTTTCTTTCTTGTTATCTCCATTTTCTTTCTTTTTCTTTTTTCTGTTATCTCCATTTTCTTTCTTTCTTTCATGTTATCTCCATTTTCTTTCTTTCTTTCTTTCTTTCTTTCTTTCTTTCTTTCTTTTATGTTATCACCATTTTCTTTCTTTCTTTCTTTCTTTCTTTCTTTCTTTCTTTCTTTCTTTCTTTCTTTGTGCTAACTTCCTTCCTTCCGTCCTTCATTCCTTTATCGGCCGTCTGTGAACAAAGTCCCCAAGAGGTCTTGGGACAGAAATCATTTCCAATGGCCATCAATTGAAAACAACAGAATTCGAAATATCGTTTTTCCGAATCACTAACAAGTGCTCAGTATCGAGCACACCGCACCTGCATTTCTCAAATGCCATTAAGGACAGGTACGCTCTCTGCAGTATGGTTTGCTAACGGCAGGAAAAACAACATTTTCGTTCTTGACCGCTCCTCTTACCGAATGACCTCCACACAATGTCGAAGGCTTTTAGTTCCTGTATCTGATGGCGATTGACTTTATTGACTGTCAGATCAAAAAGAAAGTACCAAAGCGAAATGGTATTCTAACCAACTGGTGGAATAGTTAAAATGCCTAGTCACAGACACTGTTGGTAAGTAATAGCAAAGGTTACAGTCAACAAATGAAGTGAACATCGAATATATTTTTTTTTTGCTTCAAGGAAATTCTTGGTATTCATATAGCGGCTAGGTAATTTGAAAATTTCCGAACTGGGAGTTTCATCCTTAGTTCGAAGTTGTGTTTGTTTGTTTTTTTTTTGTTTATAAGCCAGTCAACTGCAGACAATAATTTGCCGTTCTTGCGTTTATTGTTGCCAACATCCTAAAACGAAATTACGAGGCGAGCAATCTGCGGAACTTGTGGACATGTTTCCAAATTTGGGCCCGAAGACTCCTGTAGGCTTAGTTCCCCAACAAGGGGTCCATGAATTATATCAGCTTGGTATTTTTGAGCGATAAAAATTCTCAGGTAACAGATTATCATTCAATAATTTAATACTGTCCGTAATCCTTGATAAACTACATCTAGCAACAAGGCTTCTGATTGGGAGGTTTTGAGGGGGCATAGAACCACCTCTTAATTGCTGGTGTTTCCAGGTCCACCTCGACCCATGATGGTAGAACCTGCGACGGTCTCAGTTATTGGCAAATAGTGAATCCCCAAGCAAAAGCAAAACACTATGAAACATATTTTTATAGTAAAAATACCAGCAATATATTTTTATATAAAAAAACGTTACCAACAATAAATATTTATAGTAAAATTAGCAAAAATACAATTTTAAAACAAAATGACCTGCAATACATTTTATAATAAAATTACCAACCATACATATAATAGTATTACCAACAATATATTTTATAGCAAAATGACCAACAATACATTTTATAGGAAAGTGACCAACAATACATTTTATCTGTAGTTGAAAGCATACAATTGCGTTCAAAATATACTTAGTTGAAGTCATAAAATATTTATGTTCAAAATATTTAGATTTCGTCATTAAATAACCTATAGGGGTGTTGAGGTGCCACATCTAAGCTACGCTTGGAAAATCACTATATAGACATGAACAGAATGATATAAGTAGTATGAACAGACTGAGATAGATATGAACATACTGATATAGATATATAAAAATGCAATGATAAATAAACATAAACAAACAGGTAGATATGAAGAGATAGCTAGCTAGATATGAACATGAACAAAAATCTGAATCGTCCCTCTCATTGATTTGTGGCATGACATTAGGCTGGATAACGACATGGAATCTGTAGAATATTGCTTAGCTTGCCAGTGGTCTAACATACAAGTAGCCAAAGCTAAAAGTGACTTGAGTCATTTCATGGATAAATATATGGGTGAATAAAGACCACTCATGCAAATGTATTGGGCAGGTCCATTCTAGAAAAATGGACCAACCTAACTGGTGTATTAGGCGCTCTCCTATAAAATGAGGTAAAATCAGGAAACAGAAGAAGGCAGCCATGTTGGCAGGTAAGTCACTTGACTTCTACAGAATCTATGCCAGAGGATGTTGAACTCACAATCAGTCCTCTAAGGGTGATTGCTTTTATTAAGAAAACCTCTATTTATAAGCATTCTGTATACAAAATTCACCTGAAGATTTCTGCTCTGAATCGTTTGTTAGGCTCTGGAACAACTCTATCAACAGTGGTTATGGCATGTGTCACTTCGGGGCCGACACGTCCGAACATATATCCAAATCTGCAAGAAGAACTGACGTCATCGGATAAACCGCAATTTAAAAAACATCCTGAAAAGAAAAGAAAAGAAAAGGAACAATGGATGAATGTAGCTCCATCTAATTTGATAACAGAACAGATGGCTTCTTGGCGAAGAACGGATAATGAAGCTTATAAAAAATAAAAGAAAAAAGAAAAAAAGAATTCGCTATGGGTAGTTTCGTCAGCATTCAAGATAAAATGTACAAGATAAACTATAAAAAGGGAAATTACCTAAGAATGCGTTACAAAAGCAAAAAAAAAAAAAATAAAAATAATCGAAGCGATGAAAAGGTAAACAAGCAACAAGAATAAAAACAATCACGAATTTTTCAGCCGAAAACCAATTCATTTACTGTTTCAAAAACAAAACATTACGGCTGATGCATCCTTCGATCGCTTTCATTTAAAATCTCAATACTCTCCTCGTGTTTTTTCTTCATCTTCAATTTCATGGCGACCCTTATTATATTTCTGGTGATTTTCTTAGTGTTGCTTACATTTGGCACAAGGCCGATAGTATGGTGCTCTCAATGAGGACCGAACTCCATACTTAGTCGTAACTGTTCTGGCGAGACAAGCTTGATAACGATTACACCGTGTCGACGTGCCCTTATCAGAGATGATTTTCCAAGCGTATCTTAGATGTGGCACAAGTCTGAAAGTATGGGGCACCCAGTGAGGATCGAGCTCACTGTTTAATCGTAATTGATCAAGCGAAACCAGCTTGCTAACCCTTTACACGACGTCGAGGTGCCCCCTCCCCACCAGTTATCTTCATTCACAGCAGCACCTGACCCGCCACAGTGGAACCTGTTCCCAAAGTCAGTTTCTCCTTTCTCTGTCAGACTTCCGTTAGTTCGACTGACCCATTTATTTACTGTGCTTATAGAAATTTCAAATGCTAAATTTGCTGATAAGAAAGTTGGCGCAATGAGTCGTGTTAGACAATTTTTCTCACCCGAATCTATTTTTCATATTTATAAGTCGGCCATTCGTCCGTGCATCGGATATTGTTGCGACATCTGGTCTGGTACTTCTCCTATCTATCTAGCGATTCTTGACAAATTCCAAAGAAGAATTTGCAATGTTATCGGTCCTGACGTGGGTTTCCGGCTTCAATTACTTTCTCGCCGGCATAACGTAGATTCCCTGTGCCTTTTCTGTAAATATTTTTATGGTAATTGTTCTGATGAGCCTTTTCTTTTTGATATCTTGGTTGCACGAATTTAAGCGCAGTACTAGATTGGCAGCTAGGTCTCATTGTTTAACTGTTGAAATTGCTAAGGGTAGCCGTAAGCTCCATTCTGATATCTTCTTCTCTCGCACTTCACATCTGTTGGAACTCTATTGCCATGTCTCGCTTTCCTGTCAGCTAAGATCTTCAAAGATTTAGATGCAACGTCGTTCGCCTTATGCTGTCGCCTTGAATTCCGTTGTTTTTATTCTGTTTCTCCTCAGTAACATTCCTCAGTTTCTTTAACTCTCACTTAACCTCTTGCGTCTTAGTGGCTTTGACACCTTGCTTGCGGTGAAACTATTAAAAAGAAAATACTGGAACCTTTCCATAAGCATTCATTAACCTCCTGAAAATGTTTACAGGTTTTCCTTCCAAAAACAGAAATGTTATTATGGTTCTTTGCCTTCTCCGTGTGTCCAGTGAGGAAACCATTTTCAAAGAGGATTATGGGTAGGAAATGAGAAGGAAACTTCATAGATTTTTTTCTATGGTCTTCTAGAGACTTTTTCGTTTATAGAAACTCCTAAGAATTCGGATTAATACTTAAGAGTTAGATTTTAACAGACATTACGTCTAGACGGAGATTCATCTATCTATCTATCTATCTATCTATCTATCTATCTATCTATCTATCTATCTAATTCTGTTCATATGTATCTATCTGTCTATGTCAGTCTGTTCATATCTATCTGAGTCTGTTCATATCTATCTATCTATCTATCTATCTATCTATCTATCTATCTATCTCAATGTGTTCACATCTATCTATCTATCTATCTATCTATCTATCTATCTATCTATCTATCAGCAAAGAATCCAGGTGTACACTGGAAGCTAAGAGCTCCGAATTTAATTTTGTAATTAAATTAAAGACATTAGTTCCATTTCATCCTGAAGCGAATTTTGGAGTAACTTTTAAAATTACTGGGTTTTAAAGACACAGCAAAAATCATAATTCACGTTTCCAAGGTTACGGATAAATCCACTTCCACCAGACAACGGATGTCTAGCTTCCATTTTTGAAACATGGTTAGAACCGTGTAGCGAAAAAAAAAACATATTTTAAATCAATTAATTTATAACATTAATGCTTTGTAAATTTACATTGAGCACTATTTTGTAAAAATAAAAATATCTATAAGAACACCGGATTATATATCTTACTGTTCTTTCTTTATATATATATATATATATATATATATATATATATATATATATATCTAAGTATAGGATTGGTGTATACGGAATAAATTCCAATAACCAACAAATACGATTCTTAAAAGAGTGCTCAATACAGAGTAGAGCAAATACAATTATTTATTCGAAAATTATAACATAAATATGTTATAAAATCACTACAAAAATAGCCATTTTGTTTCAAAACTTCTGGCGTTTTATCAAGTGACGATGTTGAATGTAGAATAAAGGGTTTTAAAAGGTTCAAATCAATCAAACACCCCTCGCCAAAGGGAAACGCTGTTACATAAGCTGGAATAACCAATCAAAATACAAGTATATGAGAAGTCAAAAAACTTGACAACGAACTAAGATATTTATCTGATGATCGTAAAAGCGTGAAACCCAGGGTCACAAACTCACATCGATCCAACCAAATATGTTAGCTCTATCTGTGATATTGAGCGCTTTTAAATAAGTACCGCGCATATAATATATAAATAATTATATATATATACATATATATATATATATATATATATATATATATATATTTATATTTATACACACACATACACACACACACACACACACATAAATATATATATATATATATATATATATATATATATATATATATATATATATATATATATATATATATTATATACTGTCTACATGGAGAACGCATGAATAAAAAACAAATTCTTTCATCTATTTTCTATCTATTCTGAAGGGTTTCCATCTCAAATGTCGGACACTTAAGACAGAGAATATAAAATGTTAAACGATTTTTTAAAAAGCCAACCATTTTTTCCCCTCTTTTTTTGTCTCGAATAACACCAACTCGTGAATATGATATAAGATTTAATTATTTTAAACGCACACAAATGCATAGACACACATAACACATTTTTCGTTATGCATCTGATGAAGACATTAAAAGCGAAATGCATTATCGGATATTATTTTCCAAACATACTCTCATGAACGTTTTTACAAATGTCAATAACTTAAAACTCTCTCGGGATTATATATCCAAATTTATTACAAACTGTCGACATGGAGAACGCACGGATAAAAACAATTATTGCATCTATTTAATACCAATTCTGAAGATATATATATATATATATATATATATATATATATATATATATATATATATATATATATATAGAGAGAGAGAGAGAGTTTATGAAAAATTAGGTAATCCGTATGGGTAAACCCAAGGAGGATAAAATCCAGAGAGCTCAATGTAAATCCAGAGCAAATAATTTAAATAAAAACAGACCACTTTAAGGTTCCATGTAATAAATTATTTCACCACGGCCCTTTTAAAGGATTGTGGATCATCAGACTTTACTTCCAAAGGTTGAAACAAAAAATGAAAAGAAATTTACACATTTTTGACGGGCCGTATTACACATGTAAATTAAAGAAGTGAGGAAGTGAGGGGGGAAAGAGAGGACATGAGTGAGTTAGATGTAATTTAATATTTCTATTCTTTCATACTTAAAATTATTTCAGGAGGTCCAGACATTGACACATTTAAACGGTTAACTTAACGGAAGTTATATATTGATATCGAAGAGGTAGAGGAGAAAAAAAACATATAAAAGAGAAAAAACTCAGAAGGATGTCATGAGAGAAGGTGTCACTAATTTTCTTTTGAAAAAAAAAGAACAGGCTAGAAACAGACGCTGTTATTTTGTTTTACTTTGAAAGTATATATATATATATATATATATATATATATATATATACTCGACTTTTGAAAGTATATATATATATATATATATATATATATATATATATATATATATATATATATATATATCGACTCTCCCATCGAATTCGACGTATGAGGTCAAGCAGATCAGTTCCTAGGAAACCGACAGCCCGACAACAGCACATGAGATTTGATTATAGTGGTGAAGGTTTTGTGCAGAACCAACCACACATTTTGAAGGTCAGAAGACAGAAACCTGGTGCACTACATGCCACAAGGTCCCCAAACGATCCATCACGGGTTTTGAATTCAGAGTTGTCCTTCTCCTGGACCAGTTGCCATCCAAGGCTATAGAACCCAGTCTTTCCTGCTATTTATCCATAGCTGGAGGGAGAAGAAGAGGATTCACACCTTTCCCAAGGGTATTAGCACGTAAGTGAATGTAATGGATTCGACTGGAATTCGAACTCTGCTCTCCGATTCCTCAATCTGACTCTCTATCCATTATTCCACCGTGCCTCTCATCCACACACACACACACACACACACACACACACACACACACACACACACACACACACATATATATATATATAAAGAAAATTATGATATATATATATATATATATATATATATAAAGAAAATTATGATATATATATATATATATAACGTAATACAATCATTCCTGTCAAACCGTGAATTAAGGTCGTTCACAACGGATTCTCCTCCAGTTCCTACCCCACGAAAGCAGGAGTTCCTCAAGGCTCCATCCTAGGCCCCACTCTATTCCTTATCTATATAAATGACCTTCCTGACGCCGTAACTTCTCAAGTCGGCATCTACGCGGATGACACCACAATTTATTCCTGCCTCAAAAACAAATCCAGTCTCGCTGACAAAACTCACCTTGCCGTGCGCCTCGAAAAGGACCTCCAATCGATTGTGAACTGGGGCAAGATTTGGCTGGTCAACTTCAACGCTTCGAAGACTAAACTGCTCTCTATTAATCACCACAGAGAGCCTTCCCTTCCCTCCATTATAATGTCTGACGCTCAACTTCCGAGAGCAACTCTCTGCGGCTTCTCGGTCTCACGTTGACTGCTGACCTGAGATGGAATAAATACATCGAGTCAATTGCCTCGTCCACTGCGAGGAAAGTTGGCTCCCTGAGCCGCTAGGGAAGTTTTTCTCCCCTGAGTCGATCCTCCAGATATACAAATCCACAATTCGCCCTTGCATGGAGTATTGCTGCCATATATGGTCTGGCGCCCCTTCTGTTTGCCTCAGGGTTCTTGATAGGCTCCAGAGGCGGATATGTAATATGGTTGGCCCTACCCTGGCGTCTCGTCTACAGTCACTTTCTCACAGACGCACCGTCGCCTCCCTCTGTCTGTTCTACAAATACTTTCATGGAAATTGCTCCGAGGAACTGCATTCGCTGGTTCCCAAACTTCATGAGTTCAAGCGCCCTACGAGGCTGGCATCCCGCTCTCACCCCTTCACTGTCGAAACTCATAAATGTAGCCGTCTCTACTACTCTAATAGCTTCATGTCTCGCACTTCTCGCCTGTGGAACTCTCTTCCCTTCTCCTGTTTCCTGAGAGTTATAATCTCCAGCTATTCAAGTGTAATGTCAATCGACATCTCCAGTTGCCTTAATCTATCTACTACCCTCATCCTTTCTTCTATCACTCCTATCTGATCTTCCTATTTTCTGTAACCCCTTGCGTCCTAGTGGCTCCCCGCCTTGCTTGGGGTGAAATGCTTAAAAAAAAAAAAAAAAAAAAAAAAAAATATATATATATATATATATAGAAAGAAAATTATGATATATATATAATGAAAATTATGATATATATATATAAAAGAAAATTATATATATATATATATATATATATATATATATATATATATATATATATATAATAATTTTCTTTCGGTTACAGAACTTTATTATAGAAATAAAACGGTAAGACCAATTTTACTCTTCATGATAAAAAAAAAAACAAACCAGCCGACCGGTTTAAAACTTGATCTTTGAAATCAATCATTTTTGCTGATTTCATCGGAGCGCGAAAAGCAAGTCCTTATTAGCCACATTAGAAATGCAGGTATCCCCACGCCATCTTTGGTGAAACAACTGTCATCAGAGTGTCTCTTTCATGGGATCTATCACCCTGTTGCAGCTCTAGAATCTCTTTGGCAGGAATCACACTCCACTCCTCCATGTCACCATTCTGGGGAGCCCACTCTGCACGGGGCTCGAAGTTACCCAGAGGCAAATGTAAATTTGAAACCCTACCATGGTTCACCTGATAGGTTTTCGCAGAAGTTTTCCTTTCCCAAGAATTGAAACTATCCAGACGACACTAATACTAAAATAAGAATGAGGATGCTGGGATATTAAGGAAACTTAGTATGACTTGTTTTACAGTGAAAGCCGTCTGTTACGACTGATTTGAAAACTAAAAATGAGAAAGCACAGTAAAAGCCTGATAATGTTCCCATCAACTCCTTAATGATAATCAGTTTTAAATTTAAATGTTGAAATCCGATGTATCTCCATGTTTGATTTAGTTTCATTCATCTTGAACGAGGTTAGCATCGATAGAAATCGAATGCAGAAAAGAAATGTCGCTTTGCCAACTTGGAGTCTATCAGCAAAATACGCGACTTTTCATTTTTTTATAGCCAGAATACACGGCAGACATCTTGTGACAATTTTTGTTACTACATTTCTCAACGTCAACAAGCGTAAGAAAATCAACATAATCATTTGTAGGCAGCAAAAGAAGCGTGCAATATTGATCGGTCAAACGAACGCCAGCATAAGAAAGAAAGAAAGCGAGAAAGAAAGCGAGAAAGAAAGCGAGAAAGAAAGCGAGATAGAAAGAGAGACAGAGAAAGAAAGAAAGCGAGAAAGAAAGAAAGAAAGAAAGCGAGAAAGAAAAAAAGCGAGAAAGAAAGCGAGATAGAAAGAGAGACAGAGAAAGAAAAAAAGCGAGAAAGAAAGAAAGAAAGAAAGGAAGAAAAAGAAAAGGAAAGAAAGAAAGAAAGAAAAAGAAAGAAACTAAGAAAGAAAGAAAGACAGACGAAATTTTTCTCGCCTTTGGTATTTGGAGTAAGAGTTCTGGCATTCTATTCATGCGTGTGAGGGATAAACGCCTCGTTTCAAAATGGAGATCTCAAGGTCTATTTTTTATTGACTAGTGGGCGCACAGACCAACCAAGAAGCGAGAATTTCTCTCTTTTGAACATGTCGTGTTTTACGAGTAAAGGGCAAAGCCAAGAATGCTTGGCTCGCGGCTATATCACGTTGAAATAACGCTTACCGTACGATCACTGGAGTTAAGCAACATCGAGCCTGGTCAGTACGTCGATCGGTAACCACTGGGGAATATCAGGTGCTGTAAGCGTGGATATGTGCAGATGGTGTAATGGATAGCGGCTCGGAATTATTAATCAGAGAGCCGAGTTCCAATTCCAGTTGGGTTCATTAAATTCACTTAGGCGCAAGCACACTTGGGAAAGCTAAGAATTCACCTCTTCTCCCTCCCCACCCCACAGTTGAGTTAAAGGTTAATTAGTAATTATCGGTTAATTAGTAAGACTTGTATCACATAACCATTATTATTTAAAGACAAAAAAAAATTTCTGGCTTTAAATAACCTGCAGAGGGTTGATAAACCGTAAAAAACGAATCAATCAGTCAAATACTGATTAGCTGCACAGGTATGTTTTTAAGGTTTATTTACATTTTCTGGAATATAAATGCATAGAAACTTCCGTGGCCACAAAGTGAGGGATCTGTTTACATATTAACTGTGATATGGAATTGATTCCCCACTTTATATCCACATTAAAATTTCTTGTTTGTTTATCAAATTCTGATTAGGTAGGAATCCACCTCTTATCTCTCCAGCTATGGGTTAATTAGTACGCTTTGTATCAGTAAACCATTATTATTTTAAAATATTCTTACAATCCAAAAATATTTAGATAATCTGCAAAGGGTTGAAAACCCGTAAAAAAAAAATCATATCAATGAATCAATCAAATACACAGGCATGCATGTCTTTTACATTTATTTCCATTCTCTGGAATATAAATCTATAGAAACTACTCTGGCTACTAAGTGAATATTGTATTTAAATTAAGTGGCAGCAGAAGAATTATCGTTGAACTTTTAAAAGATAAACTTCAATATTAATGCAATACTTAAATGCAGCGATCAATTTTGAGTTCTTCTGTAGTTTATTGTTGCCTATCGCATCTACTCCTACCTACCTATTGTGATGAAGAGCCCTTCATGGGAGCTAGCTTAAATGCCGTCCTATAGGGCAGCTTTTAAGCTAGTGTGCGTGTGTGTGTGTGTATATATATATATATATATATATATATATATATATATATTGTAAATCATTTATATGTTTATACATTATTTTTATAGATACAAATATTTAAGTAAATGCTCTGTTTATAATAAACAGTATTAAACAACATTTACCGGCCTGAATGTCCGAGAAATTTTCACAGAGAATATTCGTCCACCGACAGGATTCGAACCTGTATCCTATACGGAACCGTCATTTAGCTTGACGTGCCTTTAACCGATTTGGCCACAGAGGAGCGTTCGGTCAGCAAGGTCGAATTTACTGTATTTGAACTTCAATCTTGCATGAATCTCTCACGTACATTCATATCTGCTCATGGCGCATCCAAATCTAAACAAAATACTTAAATATTTGTATCTATAAAAAGAATGTATAAACATAAAAGTGTCATAAAATAATTGTCGGACTTTGTCCATTTCATAATGTGTGACATATATATATATATATATATATATATATATATATATATGGAAGAGGTTATAGTTGTTCCAACGAGAGGAAAGTGTACATTTTAAAAAGAAGAGAGAAACCGCAAACGTTTTTGGTTATTATGTGATTTTTTTGTTATATATATATATATATATATATATATATATATATAATCGACTCTCCCGTCGAGATTCGACGTATGAGGGTCAAGCAGATCAGTTTCCAGGAAACCGACAGCCCGACACCAGCACATGAGATTTGATTATAGTGGTGAAGGCTTCGTGCAGGACCATCCACACTTTTTGGAGGGACGAATACAGAGACCTGGTGCACCGAATGCCACAAGGTTCCCAAACGACCCTCCGCAGGTTTTGAATTCAGAGTTGTCCTTCTCCTAGACCAGTTGCCATCCAAGGCTATAGAACCCAGTCTGTCCTGCTATTTTACCCATAGCTGGAGGGGAGTAAGAGGATTCATACCTTTCCCAAGGGTATTAGGACGTAAGTGAATGTAATGGATTCGACTGAATTCGAACTCGGCTCTGCGATTCCTCAATCCAAGCCGCTATCCATTACTCCACCGTGCCCCCCTCTCTCTCTCTCTCTCTCTCTCTCTCTCTCTCTATATATATATATATATATATATATATATATATATATATTTTATTATAAATATTTATTATAAATATATTTTATATATTTTTATTATATACATGTGTGCATGTGGGTGTGTTTCTTTGTTTTTTGTCTGGTTGGGGATGAAGTGGTGTAATGGTTAGCAAGCTTTCTTGCTTGGTCAGTTACGAGTGAGTTTGATCCTCACTAGGTACCCCATACTTTCGGCCTTGTGCCACATCTGAGCTATGCTTAGTAAATCGCTAAATGCGTGTGTGTGTAAGTTTGGTTTGTTGTGTTCTGTTTTACGGCATATCAACCTCAATGGTTTATTTAATGCTGACAAAGTTTTTATTGCTGGTAATATTTTGTTTTGTCAAAAATCTATTTCTGGTAATAATTTTTTCCTTCAAAAATGTATTGCCGGTAATATTTCTTTTCCTCAAAAATGTATTGACGGTAATATTTCTTTTCCTCAAAAATGTATTGCTGGTAATATTTTTTCAAAAACGTATTGTTGGTAATATTTTTTTTTCTTCAAAAATTTATTGCTGATAATAATTTTTTTTTTTACAAAGTATTTCTGGTATTAAAACTCATTTTTACCCCAGTTTCGGGGTTAACTATTTGGCCATAGCTGAGTCCCTAACAGCTGTTACCACCCCGGGTCAGGGCGGACCTGGGAACACCAACAATTAAGAGGTGGTTCCACGCACCTCAAAATCTCCTGATCAGAGGCCTTGCTGCTGGACGCAGTTTATCGTCTTACGCATGACGCGGTTGTAGTTTATCGTCATACCCAGGACGGGCGTGTGTGTGTCTGTGTGTGTAAGAAATCAGATATAAATAAAATATATCTGTGAAGAGAATATAAAGAACAGAAATTTTTTTTTTTTTACAAACGCCTTTCGTCTCTTGAGGAACTACATCAAAATAAATTATTTAACTTGATAGTTCCTCATGGAGTGAAACGCACTGGTAAAGTTTTTCTTTTGTCATATATATATATATATATATATATATATATATATGAAGAAAAAAAATATACGGAAAAAACAAACAAAAATCCTTATATGCAATTATGCTGTTTTAATGTTAATATAATGTCAACGTCGGACGTTTCGGTCTAATAAACCATCTTCAGGACATATTTATAAAATTTTTTCCGTATATTTTTCTTCATACTGTCGGATCTATATCCATATATTTGCTTACACACACACACACACACACACACACACACACACACACACACACATATATATATATATTTATATATATATTGTTCCTTTATTATAATTTAATCATATAGACAAAACCATTTTACTCACTACAAAGATGCAACTTG